TTATACGACCCCGGTACAACAATAACAGCTATTGCCGCAACAACTTCTCTGCAACGAGTAAAATATAATCTAGTAAAACTTTAATTGACACTTCAATTGATAAATTCATCTCGTTACTTTGTCTGCAACACGTTTGCCGTACAGCCTTGTGACTGGAAGTTGGTTCAAATGTGGCCAGCGTGGACGTGGGGGAACTAATAGCGTCTCTGTTGTACGAAACGTAGAAGAAAATGAAAACGAGTTTTAATGTTTTCATTTTTAAATGGTTTTAGCCGCATTCAGGTCTCTCCGCTATTCTGCCATTTACCGAGTTTTTCATTTGTAAAATACCCGCAAAATAGGTTAACAGCGCGCCGAGACACACTGAAAGAAATAGTGTTGATTTATCTCCGATTGGGATTATTGCTTGCAGAAATGGTGTTAACTGGTATGCTTGTAATTTGTTACAATTTACTTAAGTAAATTTTTATGAAAATCACATTTTTTGAATTCTTTTCTATTAATTCAATAACTGAACAATTCCAATTTAGAAACTAATTATAAACTAATTAAATATCATTTTCACTTTTAGACATGAATGTAATGCATATTATATATGTATATGTTATTATATCTAATATAAAAGTAAAGGACTGTAGGTCGCTTTTAATACAAAGAAAAATAATAATATTTAATATTTTATGCAATAAAAACCTAAATAACTTTTTGAATACCGAAGACATAACAATAATTATAATAATAATTTTATGCAGTAAGAACCGAAATTACTTTTTAAACACTTTTTAAGCATAATAATTATAATTGAAAAAGATTGTATTATGGAACTAATCATCGGCTTAAGCAATGGTAATAAATTTATTACCATTATTTATTTGTTATATATTAAATTCATACATTATTGTTCATATATAAAAGTATATTTTTATCTTTTTCGTCGCCTATAAAATTTAAATATTTTTATATAAACTGATGTTAGGTTAGAAAACTTACTTTTTGAATTCAACAGTTTAACTGACCAAAACTGATTAATATCCGTAAATTAATTCTGGAATAGTTGGGCGTAAAGTAACAATAACTCGGAGATTAGTTGTGAATGTAGTTTGTGTAAACTAAACTCATATTTATGACAACTGACAGGCTTACCAACACCGCGTTATCGAATCTCAGAATGGTTACAGGCTCCTCGTAGAGGTATGCAGAGCTGAGGTCAATTACTTCTTAGTCTGATAAAAGGATAAACAATAATCTAGTCAAAGTGCTAAAGTGCACTGACTCAACTAGCCTTAACATTATAAGAAAAAATAAAAATTTATACTTCAAAAACATTTGTACTTATAATTAGTGTTTGAGATATAAGACTTTAGGGAGGATGAACCTTTTCTTTATTTAGAATTCTTTTTTTTTAATTTTTAGTCATACAAACAGAAAACTTAGATAAAACCACATCATTTGAGGAGTAGCTCATAGTTAGGACTTGAGAATACAATGCTTTAGTCATATCTAACAGAAAAATTAAATAAAGCCACTTCATAGTTCATCGTTAGGGCTTGAGAACAAAAGACTTTAGTACAGAGAACTTTTTTCTAACTCCAAGTCATATTTGACAAAAAAATTACAATGAACTTTTGTAAACAAGCATTGGAGAGAAATAGTATGTTATAGTTCAAAGTAGACATTGATAGCAAGACTAGTTTTCTTTCTTTGCTTTATTGTCCATAATATGTTCCAGAGTTAAAGAATTGGAGTTTTTTTCCAGATGAAGGTGTTAAAAAAAATACCATTAACTTTATTTTGGAAAATTATTTAATATTTTTGAATTTTGACACACTCAATACCAGTAATAGATTAGACTAAATAAAATAAGACCAATATAGTTATATAAATACAACTACAACTTTGAACAACAGTAACAGGATCTTAAACTTTACAAGGCAAAATTTAAATGCTATATAATTAAATAGTAATTAATTTGTTTAAATTCTTATGAAAAAATAAGTACTAGAATAAAATATGCAGTAGGTATTTAAATCGAAAGTGACTTATGTTACTGAATAGTTACTGAATACTGAGCAAAGTCATATGTTTTTATTGAATATATAAAAATAAAACAAATAAAAATCTTACAATAGCTTTATAAGGAAGAATATAACTGCAACGGCTGGGAGTAATTAATACTCTAAGCACACTTGATATAAGCGATTCCATTGACTAAAAATATGTCATAAAATAATCGAGACTTCTCCAAATTTGATAAAAAGCAATTAAAATCTATTCTGCTATCAAAAATTATTTCTTGATGTTAAGATACTTGAGTAAATGGATTGCTCGAGTAATAACTTTTGTATAAGTTAACATGATGAAGAATTGACCAATTATTACTAAGATCTTTGGAGAATTGACCAATCATCCCTTTTTAAACTAAAATGATTAGTAAAAACAAATAAAATTTTTTATTACAATAATTATTTTAATAAATAAAATATTAATTACTAATTACTGACAATAAAAAGTTTTGACCAATTAACTGGAAAAAAAACTTTATTAAATAAAATATTAAATTTTTTTATTATAAAAATTTTGTTAAGAAATTCTTTGTGTCTTTCCCTATATGATATATCGACATTTTTTATATATCTGGAAAAAAGTCTACAAAAATATAATAGAAAGCCTTATAAAGAGGTTTTTACGAATAGTATTGAACTACAAGCCTTAAAAATATTATTTTAATGATTGAACTATAACGTTAGCCATTAAAATGAAATTTTTTTGTTTAATTTAACGATTTATATAACAACTTTTAGTATATCGAAAAAATTAATTAAATTTAATTCTGTATTAAAATAGGACGGGAAAATAATTTTAATTAAGTTATTGTCGAAAATCTTTCTGTGGTGAACTAAATTTTCTTTCAATTGTAGTTCGTGATTTTATTTTGAAATGTACACGTTTTTAAAGTCATTAAATCTTCCATACAGGTTATCTCTAGGAAATGATATAAACCACTGAAATAATATTTTTACGATAATTTTTATGCGTTGATTTATTACTGCTTTTTGTGAAACCGCTCCTGTGCAGTTTTTTGCCTCTTTTTTCCCTGGCTTATGTGCAATCACAGGAATTTCGCTGCTATTGTGTGGCTTGTCTGGTGTCTTGTCTTATACAATTTGTGTTCGAGTTTTTTGCTATTGTAAAATGTATCTCAGCGTTAAATTGTCCTAGTTTTTGTCTCGACTTGTGTGTTATACATCAATTGGTTTAAGAAATGAATTCCTTTTTTCTAACATTTTTCAAATATATTCAACGCGCCAAGGCTTGTGTTTGGTGCATTGTCTTGTGTGTTTTTCACTTGGAGCAACTGCGAGGCAGACATGACCGATGTGGGTTAGTTTCTTCATTTCGGTACAGCACACTTTTTGTTGCAATGGCATTTGGTTCACTATGCCAAGCGATTTTATGTGAAATGTAATTTGTGTTCATTTAATTTTATGGATTTAAAGTTAATAAAAAAGTAAATAGGAGTTACTATTTACGAAAAAATTGATTAAAAAATCATATGTCAAAGACAAGTTGAATTGTGCATCAATTTAAATTCTTTCTTCTTGTTATTTGTCGGTTCGGATATAAAAAACACGAGTTAGAAAAACGTAAAATTTTTATAGTTATATAAAATATTTTTTTAATTACTTGCATTTTTGTTTTGTATAAGATACAACTATTTTTAATAGTTATTTGTGTATACACATTTTTTTTTCAGTTTTAAAAAAGCTCAAAAGAATTTTATTGATACTATTTAATTTGTTGTGGTGCTGTGCGACACTGACGGTACTAAAGCTAAAATAAATATATAGGCCCAGAAGTCTAACATTCTTCAGGCCCTGCGCTGTGTGCGTGCATAAAGATATTCCAAACAAAAGTTGACTCCATTTTGGTTATTAATATTTTTGTGTCAAACTTATCATTTAAATAAAATGAGAAGAACTAGATCTATATTTGCACAGATAATTAAGCAACAATCAAAGCATAATTTTTTTAAAAACATTTTTAACTGAATTTGTTGTAGTTAGCGAGAAACGAATCCTCATATTATTTCATATCATCTTGCCAAAACTGAACCATTTACAAAATTGGAGAATGGCTGAAATAAGTCCCTACTGGGTAGTCACTTAAGTTAATCAATAAGCAAAAGAGCTGCTTTGTATTATAAAGACATTAAGGCTCATGCAGCTGGCAAATTAATTTATAGAACACTTTGATACTTGAATCAATGGATCCTCTTTGCTAGATATTGAACAAGCTGAATCTGTCCGGTTATATTCTTTGTAATTGAATAGACTTGATTAGGATAAGAATAGAACTGTTAGGATGAAAGGTCTTGTCTCCATCTGATTCTTAATATGCTAAATTCTGATCTTCTTTTGGAAGGGTAAATACTGCATGCTCGGTTAGCGTTGCTTGATGGTAGAAAGGGCCAACTGCAGTATTTAACAAATTTAATTTATTTGATATTTGGAGATTTTTAACGAGGGATATCAAGAAATACTTAGAACTCTGGCTATCCTCGTCGGAAGTGAAGGTATCTTCTGGTCGATTAACATAGCGGAGTGCTCCACTCTAAGACTTTATTTAATTCTAATTCAAATTTTTTAATTTCATTTGATAAATGTTTAGTATCAAAAACACAAATGAATTACTGATAAAAATATACTAGTAATGCTAAAAGAGAATTTAATTATATTTTCGAAATGTTTTTTCCTATAGTAATTCATTAAGTAATTACTAAAAGTATGTCAACAATAATCACAAACCGTATCTGTAACTAATTTTAGTATATATTCCTAAACCTTCTTTTTAATATATGCAAATAATGTGATAATAATGTAAATTAGAAATATATTTATCAAATGTTTGTTATTTAGAATACCTATATAGCTAAATTACTTCCAGTACTATATATTGCATATATATTGATTTTTTCAGTTAAAAAATAATCAGTCTATAACTTAAGCAAGCAAACTAAAGTTACAATGGCAAAATTATTCCTTCACATATTAATTGTTGTGTTTTTTATTATTAATATTATGGTATTTGCAAGATTTGCTGAAGAAGGCCGCTCCCCTTGTGAGACCTCGTAACATTACATTATTTATTATTTTAATATTTGCATTGCAGTTTGTCCCAATGAAAATGAGGAACCTACAATATGTGGCACTGCTTGTCCACCGACTTGTGAAAAACCTCAAGTGGAGTTGTGTACTTTCCAATGCATTGTGGGTTGTCGGTGTAAAAACGGTTACATACTACGCAATTCTACAAAAGAATGCGTGTTACCGGAGGACTGTTGAAGGAACAGAGATTTATGGATGAATTAAATTTAAATGGATTTCATGTACTAATCTTTTTCTAGCAAGATGAAAATAAAATCCATCACTATCTATTAATTTATTATTGAAATAATGTTTTACAAATATAAATGTACATATATGTACATTTAAATGTACATACATATATGCAAATATAATAATAAAACTTTAATATACATATATATATTATATAAAAGAAAATTAGAGGTTTTGAAAAAAAAGACTGGCTAAACAGAATAAGGGAATAAGGATAAGAATAAGAGAGGGGGTATAAGAAGAGACAAGTATTGACGAGTTAATGGAAACAAAGTTATAAAATAAGATGTAAGAGGAAAAAAGAAGGATAACATGAAATTATAGCCTTAATTGTAATAGAACTTTTTCGTAATATTCAAATTTTTTTTACATCTCTAAATATATACCATAATATATTGTTAGTCACATTGTTTTAGACGTGAAAGGTATTATCAATTAGTAGCCAATATAATTAAGTATAATAGCCAATGTGCTATGAAACTTCAGTAGTCAAAAATGTCAAAAAAGAAGTTGTGTACATACATTACTAGCATTGTAAACGTTAAGGATACAGTTGTTAGCTACTTTGTTCTATATATTTGATGGATTAATATGAGAGTCGATAACCATTATTGTGATGAACTGTAGTTTAATCGTGTGTTGGCTATAAAATAACTGCTCGTCGTGAAGTAATCTTGACTTATTTCAAATATATAAAAAATTTAGTAAGTAATTAATAAATATATAGCATTAAGGCTTCTTTAAGCTAAAACTTATCATCTAGCCAAATATAAATTTTTCTTCAGTTTATTTTCTGATTCTATAAAATTTTTATTTGACTTCATTAGCAATAAAGTAATGGTAAAGCAAAATTTAGTCATACAGTGATGTATAAATATTTCTGAAATTTAATTTCTGTTTTGTTAACATTTCTGGAATAAATTATTTCAAATTTTTAAAGAAATATTTTTTAAAATATAATAAATTCGAAATTACATTACATTTGAGACATCTGCCTGAAATGTGTTATGTGCTCACTCATAATAATCGAATATGTTCATTATTCAATGAAATAAAATTAATTGATCGTGTAAGTGTCAGTTATGTTGTAATATTTTGAAACAATTATTTTTGTAATAATCCAATAAAATTTTATATTTAATTTGGTTGCCCCTTAAATGTTTCACAAGCAAATTTTTTGAATAAATGCAATAATCCATGGTTTAAGGTTTCAATTAAAATTCACTGAAGCAATAAATTCAAAGCACTGTCAAATTTTGCAACTCATCGCTTATTATATTAAACATACACAAGAATAATTTCAAATGTGCTAACTAATAGTAACTAAATAATAGTAACTAAATTAGAAATAAATTGTATTAATAGTGAACTATCACAAATTGACTAATGTAGCATATTTAGCAGGTTAATAAGCTTGTCAGTAAATAATAAGTTTTAGAATAACTTGATTGTAATAAATGATTTTAATAATATATATTTAAATTAATTTAATTTAAATGAAATTCTATTAAAATTACAATAATAAGTAAAGGTGTAATTTAAATTTGTGAAAATTTATTTAAAAAAAATGAATTTTAAATGAAATTTTATGAAAATCATAGTAATAAGTGAAGGTGTAATGTAAGTTTGTGAAAATATATTTAAAAATAAAATTTAAATTTTTAATTTCGTATAATTAAAAATTTTTCAACGTATTAAAATTTTGAAATAATTTTCGAAAAGGAAAAATATTTTGTGATTTTAAGTATAGAAATTATATGTTGCTATAGTTTTTGTTGAAATTCGCTTATAAGTAAAATTAAATTTTATTTTTTAATGTTAATTTTTTTTATGCCGAAAGTGACTCTCGTCTTCTGACGAAAATAAATTATTTGAAAATTAGAAGTAGAAATGAAAAGACAACAACAAAAATTTTAGTCATTTTAGTAAATTTTATTTTGTTTGTGATAGGACTTTCACATTTTATTAATTTCTACTGAAATTTGTTACATATTATGGATATTTAAAATTAATGATTATTGAAATGAGATATAAAATAATGTTTGTATCTCTAAAAAAAATTGTTAATTTAATTACATATATTAATTTTTTATTTAGTTACGATACAAACTCAATCAATATATGGTATCTTCTATACACTTCTATATTATATATAATGTGTTTAATCTATAGTTAAGATTGTACTATTCGTATTGAATAAAATATGTTTTTTCAAAAAAAACTTCTACATATACTACCTAGCACTATTTGCTAATCTTTTATAAAATTTATTTCGTATTGATTTCTTTCTTATTATATCGTACTAAAAATTTCCACCAGTCTCCTGATGATGACTTCAGACTAACGAGGGAATATCGATAAAATAAAACTTATTGTAAAATTAAATTGTAATTTATTTTCTTAATTTTTATTTTCCACAACAAAAAAAAATTTTGCCCAATAACTCTACTAAAAAATTCACTTATTTTGACAATCGAATATTAAATAATTTTACTTGAATATGATATATATCATAGTGTAGTCCTAAAATTTAGGCATTTCAGGTGGAACATAAAAAGTATTCATTTATAGGAAAGAGTAAAAACTCAGAAGGGATCAATAGAATCAATAGAATCATGTAATATTTCGTATATTAATAGTTTTTAATTATTTCTATGAGAAATCATATACTTAAAACTATAGTGTTTTAACTTTAGTGTTCTAATTATAGCACAATCAAAAACTTAACTAGTATTTTGAGGATTTTTATGAAGTTCAGATGTTTCTACTTATCCTTCAAAAAGCTTTTCAAACCTTCAACACCATTTTTAAAAATCTTTTAAATGTTAATATTAGAGATATCTAAAATGGTTCCAACTATCCTAGTAAAATCTTTTCCATATACTGCTGTACACCTAATCAATTTGTTTTTTTTAACCATAATTTTATAATCTAAATGTGACCTTAACTATTATAGTCTTGGTGCCGAATAGCACAAGTCACACATGTTACAACCTTAACATTTACTTTGTAACGCTCTGTGCGCCTCTAATGTACCAAATTTACCACATTGTGCAGTGCAAAATCACCAGTCATGGTGACTGGTGGGTTGCTGCTGAGCTGACCAAACCGCCTAAATTTTTAGGAATTCTTCGTTTTATTTAAACAAATTAAAGTTCAATATGAAAAGCAATTGACATTTCAGATTTGTTGCCTCAACTGCAAGTGCACCAGTGCACCATTGCACCGCGGTGTGACAAACTCGTTTAAGCAGTTTTATATGCTTTAGTTCCATGGTAATAATTTCCATTGCATGTACCGAGACGCACCCAAAAAGTTTCCTTTGCACTTTGTCTTCACAAAGGCAATGCAATAATTTTCAATAAATTTGTTGCAAATTTGTGCAAAAATCTTGAAAATGTTGACATTAAATGTTATATATATTTATTATATGAAAAAGGGCTTAAAGTTGGTCGCTGCCATATAAGAGTTTTTGAATTTTTCATTGGTCTTTGTTAATTTAAATTCTTTTGTTTTGTCACAGATTTGACCCTGTAGGTCGATTGGTTGAAAAAAAGTACCACTATAAATTTGGTTTGATTTTATTTTAATATTTAATCAATAATTCAATAGAGATCGTGACAAGAGTGAGACAAAAAACTTATTTCGATTATTCGTTATATATGAACAAGGAACTGTGGTTAAGAAGTAGGCATTTATTTCAAAAAATAAATAAATATTTCTGTATTCTAATTAGTAAGATATTAGTTTAAAAATAGTGTAAAACTCACAATCTATAGATTTTATCTATAGGTATAACGATTGCTGGAAAAATTATTCTCATTAATTAATTGTGAACACATGATTTAAGTAATTTGCTAGAAGTTCCAAACAACATTTCTGTCCATAATGGAAATGGAAATAATAATGGTAATGGAAATTATAATTGTTTCTGTGCTATTTTAACGATTCCTTAATCATTTTAAAAATTCTTCGCATAAAACTAAATATTAAATTGAAAGAAATAGCTCTGCTAATAAAATCAATTAAGCCTGGCACTTGCAGTCTAAACAAATTATATACGGATTATATAAATTCGATTATTTCCAAAGACCACTGATGAAGAGTACTTGGAAATACTCGAAACAGCGTTGTATGGCCAGCCAAATTTTCAATAAAAAATTAAAAATAAATTTTTGTGTTTGTCCTTTCTTTGCTATTCGAATCCGTCTAACTTTTAAATAGTTTCTTTCGTCATAAAAAGACACGCCATTATCGGCAAGAAAAAATTAACCTTAAAATCAATTAAGTTTGTATCAATAAAATCTCCATAATAAAATTAGGGATTATCTGATTGCTGTAGTAGGCTGCACGGACATATACAACATTAATACTGTTAGTGTCAATTAATCGCATCTAAGGGAATGGGCGCCCATTACCCCATGGGGCTACATTTCGTTATGAAATATTAAATAATTTATGATGGTAGTGACTACTTTACCTAATAGAACCTAGTGCAATTTGTTTGAGAAGTTTCGAAAAGTATTCCTTTTTATATTATTTTTATTACTTGAATTTTTGGCTAACCATATAGTACAGATGATATATGGCCACTGATGATTGGTATTTGGCCATACTCGAGACAGCTGTATGGTCAGCTAAAAATTCAATTAATTAAAATAATATAAAAAAGTATTTTTGTTGTTGTAATTTACTACTTTTCCAAAAACCTCTTTATAAAAAAGTTTTTATTTTAAATTATATTGTAATTTTTGGAAAAGTCTTTTAAGCGGAAGAGTAGTCGTAGGGGATTTACTTTTATTTTCCTCACTCCTTTCTACTGCTTCTGTTGATTACGCTGATACCAATAAACTTAATTGATTTCAAGAGTTTGAATCTTAGAAAATATTAGAAACCCCAAGCAATCAAACAATGTTTTAACTCATACATTTTGGAACTCATATATCAAAACTATCCAGAAAATTCTAATTATTTAGACAAAATTTTTTATTTTAGAAGCATATAATTAATCGAGTTACAGAATGA